CTAAATACAGCTTTTCAATTAAAATTAAAGTTGAATAAGGATTTTTTTAAGGATTTTTTTTTGAAAACAAGACTCTTAACACTAAAAGTTGAGGCATCAAAGGAAGGCAAATGGGATGACATCAAACAAAAAATGCAATGATACATAATTTCATTATATTAAGGATGGCTGTCCACAAAGAGGAAAGATAATGAATGCTGAAGACAGTGCGGGCAAATGGGAACCTTTGCCCACTATTAGTAGGACAGTGAGTACAGTCGTCATGAAAACCAATCAGTGTGCAGATCACTCAAAAACTTAAGAAAGAACACAATCCACCAATTCCACTATCAGGGACTCATCCAAAGGAAAGAAACAGATAGGTCACTGCCGTGTTCACTGCAGCACTACTCAGAACAGCCAAGAAACAACCAAGCCGATCACCCGTGAAACGCGGGGAAAGTACGACACTTATACACAGCACGTTATATTTGGACATCAAAAGAAATGAAATGCCATTTGTGACAACACAAATGTTTCTGTCTAGAACCTTATGTTAAGTGAAATAAAGAAGGGCACATAGACTACTCCTTCATATCTGAAAGAACTTTATAAAAGTTGTAGTAACAGTGCTTACCAGAGAGAGGCTGAGGCCTGTGGAGGAGGGGAAGGGAAGGGAAGAAGCCTACCAATAGGCATTTAGTGCAGTTAGGAGTTAAGAAGTCCTGATGTGCTAATGATGCAATAATGGTGTATTGTACATTTAAAAGAGCTACATGAGGATATTATAAATGTACAAGAGATAGGTGTTTAATGCTGAGTTGGGATTGCAGCTCATTTGTAAACTGCCAGCTTACCATGCACAGGATCCTTGGATTTGACCCTCAGTACTACCAAAACCAAAATAAAACAAAAACAACAGAAATTAAGAAAACAAGGCTTATTTAACATGAATAAAACCTGAACAACGCTTATAAATATCAAAACATTGCACTTGTTGATAATATACACAATCTCCCTGGTTTTATTTATCAGTTAAAAATAAAATTCTTAAAAAAATCAGAAATATGCCAAAAGACACCTAAGGTCATGCTCAACTTCCTTAGCGATCAGGGAAATGCAAATCAAGACAACTTTAAGATACCATCTTACACCTGTCAGAATGGCGAAAATCAAAAACACCAATGATAGCCTTTGCTGGAGAGGTTGTGAAGAAAGGGGTACACTCATCCATTGCTGGTGGGAATGCAAACTTGTGCAACCACTCTGGAAAGCAGTGTGGAGGTTTCTCAGGAAATTTGGGATCAACCTACCCATGGACCCAGCA